TGCATCAGGAACTGCACACACGCCATGGCTGGGGGCACTGACAGACCACTTACCTTGACGTTATACTCCCATTTACCCGCTTTCTGACAAAGGTAAACAAAAGAAGGTGGATTAAGTAAAATCTACAAGCTTCTGTGATTTCTATAAACATCAGTTCAACATATTTCACCTAAAAATTCCTTACAGTGTGCCTCTGGGAAACGTTTTGCATAGATGGATGTAAAATTCAAAGCAAGTATTTCCTCAGTCAACTTGCTCAGTCAAATGAAAAACAAGACTTATTTTTAGCATCATATTGGGTCTCTTTTTTCCTTTGTTGCGTAGTGTTTGTTAACGTAAGTGTTCTGATCTAAAATTAGATTCTCACACTGTATGTAGCTGCCTAGATGTTTAAAAAGAAATGTGATCAAGTGCACATATTGTTGGAAAATGTAAATTTCAGAAATACTGGAATACAATTGTGATGCTCAAACAGCATATTAAAAAACCAGAGTAAAATGAAATAAATAAATGGCAGACTTACATAAGAACAATTTAAAGTCTTTTAGTGAAATGGAATTTATTCTTTTACTTTCATTTTTAACTGTGGTAATAGACATTTCATGACACTGAAGTGCTTGGGTAATTTATTCAAGAGATTGGAGACTAGGCAGACATTTTACAGTTTTGTTAATTTCTAAATCAAACAGGCTATGTCAGCTATAAAGTGACAGCAAATCCAGGCATGGTGGAACCCAACTGTAATACCAGCACCCTGGGAGGCTGAGGCAGGAAGATCACAAGTTCAAGTCCAGCCTGGACAACTTAGTGACTTGTACAATCCTGTCTCAAACACAAAAAAGTTAAAAAGAAAAAAGAAAAGCCCTGGGATTCAGCACAGTGCTAGGTTTAAACCCCAGTACCACAAAACAGTAACAGCGAATTAAATTCATAATTATACTTTTTTTTTTTTTTTTTTTTTTTTTTTTGGTTTTTCTCTGGTACCAGGAACCGAACTCACGACCTTGCGCTTGCCAGGCAGGTGCTTTGCCGCTGAGCTAAATCCCCAGCCCCCATAATTATACTGTTAAGGCAATATTTAGTCAGGAACATGAGAAACCCTGCATTTCAAATCAAAGTTAGCCAAAGTTATGCATTTGTTACCCACACGTCCCCAGTTCTGTTCATCTAAAATAAGAAGCAATTAAATGTTAATTATAGCCCAGCATGGTGGCGCAGGCCTGAAATCCTAGCGCTCAGGAGGCTGAGGCAGGAGGATCGTTGCAAGTTTGAGACTAGCTTGGGCTACAAAGTGAGCTCAAGCCCAGCCTGAACTGCATAGTGAGACCTTGTCTCAAAAAAAAAAAAGTGTTAATTATATATGAAGATGTGTAGGTGAAATTTGTAAACAGTTAGATCACAGGCAAACAGTGATTTTATGACACTCTGTTTGTGCCAATGGGCCATATTTATTATATAATATCTCTCCTGTTGTTAGAAAGAGAAATTTTATGTGAATAAAAGTCGGTACAGGGCATAGTTGTTAGCCATCAGTTTGTTCATTCATAGTATCTCACATTAACTTATTAGGACTCCTCTATTGAAAGCATCCAATTACTTGTAGTTTTTGAATTACCCTAAAAGGCAACACAGTCTAGTAGAAAGGCTGGTGGGTTTAGTGCCAGAAACCTGAAAACAAGGGAATAACAATATCTGGCTTGTGAGGCTCTTCAGCGTCGCAGGAGAAAACATAAAATTACAGCACTCAATTAACTGTTTTCATTCCCACCTAAGAAATAAGCAGAACCAAAGCAGCTGGACAGATTTATCTCTCGAAGTTTCCTTTCGCTGTTTCCATTTTTCTCTGGACATTCCAACAATTCTGCTCCTACTTAGACTTGCTTTTTAAGACTGAAGGAGCTGTGGGAGATGAGGTGACGGGGCATTTCAGCCGCTTAGGCGGTGAGACTCAACTGCACTGAGAACGCGCTTTCTCTGAAAACTTGATCGGAACCAAAACCCTAGCTTTGACGCTTCCTCCTGATAAAGGACAGAGGAGGGAACTTTGGGGTACACTTCCACTGTGTGCAGTCCATCGATTTTCGAACTGCACTACCTCTGACGTTTCTCAAAGAATAGCTTTGCCCGTGCTATCAAACGATCAAGGACCGAGCGGCGGGAGCAAGCGGCGCGCATCTTCTCGGAGCTGTCGGTACACGAGGTGCACAGCGCGCCGGGCGCGCCCGCCCATCAGCACCGGCCCTCACGCTCTGCTCCTTCCGCTCATTTTCCAAAGTGCATTCATGGCTTTTCCGAAGCTTGCAATGTTTTCCAACAGGACATAAAAGCCATGAAAGATACACGGACGTTTGGTCACTATATGCACCAACGTTTTGTTTTGTTTTGGCTTTGTGATTCAGGGTCTCGCTATGCAGTTCAGGCTATCCTTGAACTCCCTATGCAGCCCAGGCTGGCCTCAAACTTGAAGTGATCCTCCTGCCTCAGCCTCCTCAGTGGGTGCTGGGAAACAGGCATGCCCACCATGCCTGGCTACTACATACACCAAATGTTACTGTAAATATTCCACATGACATAGGGATTTTTAAAAATAGAGACTTGGATTTATTGTGTGCAGCATAGTGTCTTAAATTCTACTCTTCTAGCAAGTTCCTGGAGGATTCTACTAGTCATAGAATCAAACCTTTGGCAGCAAGTATTTGAAATATCTTAGGACTAAAGGAACTCTAAATAAAAGGCTTAACTATGAAAGAAATGATAAAAAGTAGTTATTATACTTCAACTTCATTATAAGTGTATCTTCTTTACAATGACTTCACAAACAATCAAATTTCAAAGGTGAAATTTTCCTAAACGGATGCATCACTCCATATGTGCTCCCTTCTCTTGTGATTTTTCTACATCATTATCTGCACACTTTTAAATTCGGCAAACTGAGATCACTGACCATTTGAACATTATCATGTATTTTTGAAAATAAATATATAGAAGAGTAAGTTAAGTTATGGTACATAATTATTATAATAATCAGATTACTTATGTAAAATAAATTTTATCAATATTAAGCTTTTTGCATAATCTAGAAGCAAAATTAATATGGTTCAAAACATTATACTACTTTAAAGTATTGCAATAGATAACTATTTTTTTTTTTTTTTTTTGGTTTTTCTCCGGTACAGGAACCGAACTCACGACCTTGCGCTTGCCAGGCAGGCGCTTTGCCACTGAGCTAAATCCCCAGCCCCTGCAATAGATAACTATTAATTGTCCAAAAGACTAAGTTTATAAACCCAATTTCTTTCTCATAGGGAAAGCTACAGTTTTTTCACTTTTCTTTTGAAATTTCTTAATATTCAATAATCTTAATACAGACTGACAGAACACATATACAAAAACGTACACTTCTGTACAGGAATTATTTTAGAAATCAAGGAATTTGAATTATGACTATGGAAGCGATTTTCACTGAGGACCCATGGAAAAGTTTAAAGATTGAAAGTGACACGCTGAAATTCAATGCAGCCATATTTTACAAAAATATATAATCATTCTCTTTTTGAATAAATGTAGGCTGGATTTACTTATTTTTAGCATAAGCCTAACAGGGTCTTGGGTTCCTGGAAGACATATAACCATAACATCAAAAACCTTTATTTTAAAAATAAATAATACTTGGAGGATTTCTACTTTATCTGCATAAACACCTGTGCTTTTCCTCATAGAACAGTTAGAGCACCGAGTAGGGGTCCAGTTTACCTACTTGTGTTTAGCAACAAAGGTCTTCTGGAGGGGTGACAGAAAGGATGGTGGTTACGGATAGAGGAAAAGAGGTGTCTAAGAGGGCGAGCGAGACCCTGAGAAGGCACACGAGCAGAACACACTGGTGCAGCACGGGAGGTGTTCTTAGTGTTTCTTCTGAATTATGTCGCAAGAAGTTCCTTCTGAAGAGCCTGGACACATTATATAAGTTTCAGGCTATGAATTAACCCTACACAATCAGTTTCAAGTCGTGTAAGAATTCAGTAAATTTTTCTGATACTTCAGAAAATAAGTCATGCCAATTAAATGGCATTTAAAAAGCTTTTATAAAAGAAGAGTTTGTTAAAATATTAATATCCAAAACCTGAAGTTGAGTTTTAAAGTGTTACCTTTTCAGCATATTTCAGGATTTTATGAAACACTGCATCTATGAAGCCTGTTTATTGTATTATTTATCTTGCAAAAGTATAGTTCTTTTCCTCAATACATTTGCTGAGCAAAGAGAACTGAAAAAATATAAAGCCCTTGCTGAGATTGTTCCTCCATGTAGAGACAACATTTCTTTTTTATTAGCTCCATCTGATGGCTGAACTTGTTTTTACACACTGCCTGGCCATAATTTCCTACCAATAATTCTGGTTTTTTCTCTGTCCTCATCTCTGTCTGAAATGGGTACTATATCGACAACCTAATTATATGTTTAGTTAGTTTATTAAATTCTATAAGGTATTTATTATGGTAAAGAGTAAAACATTCTTTACAATACTTTTCATAAAAGTAAATATTGTTAATCTTGTCAAATTTTAAATTTTAGGTTGGGAACCATAAGTATCAGAGTTGAAAATACGACGACATTGTCAATACTGTCCTGTAGACACATCCTCATGCAAGTCACTCGGATAATCGCAGCTTGCCCTTGTCTGTCACAGCTTGCCCTGCCTGCCTGACACTGTGCAAACATTAACCACGTAACGATGGTTACTCCTATTTTGTACTAATGAACCATTTGGTAAAATCCTACTTATATAGTTTGACATCCTCATATTATCAGATATGAGCGGCACATGCATGATTAAACTACAGTATTACCAATGCAGAAAAAATAGCTTGAAATTTGGTTTTGAAATGCATAACTATTTATAATTAAATAAATATATAACTATATATATAACTATATATTGTAACTAAATATATAACTATAATATATAACAATTAAATGATACGAAGTGCAGGAAGGACCGTACCTCAGCATCGTATTCCCACAGCTGGTTCCCTCGCATGTGATGGCACTTTAACATAATTACAGGCCCATTGAGTCTGGAGACATCCAAGCACAAGTCATCAGTTCTGATTTCCTTGTCAGCCGTATAGGAAAACACCTGAAAATATAGCACTCAGCTAGTAAAATAGGATCAACTGTTCAACAGAAGTCACACTGCAGCAGATCCATCTGTAAAAGGTTCCACGCCAGATAAACATGTGATTTCAGACGATTTCTCCCCCGTGAACTGGAAGAAGGAAGCTCATCTCTCTGTGTCTCTTCTTGAGCGGTGAAACTATTTTACAGAGTTTGGGCGAAGGTTCCATTAACAAACTAAATTACCAAACGCTTGTTATCTGCTGGTACTTCAGTTTGTGCATTACATTTGCCTTATAAAACGAAAATCAAATTAAATAAAATGAAGTCTGTAGGTTGCATGGAGCTCAATAAAAAGAACGTGCTGCTCCCACAACCCATGACAGTCGCCACCTCCAGAGATGACGACTTAAGTCTTTCTTTGAATAAATTAAGTACACCGTGTAATATTTGTGCAATCTTGTCAGTGGGTTTTGAAGGTTGTAGAATTACCTTCTCTATGGGGCTCATTAATGACAGGTTCATGTACTTATCTTTCTTAAATGATTCTGGTTAGGGTTGACTACAACATTTCAAAATATCCAGGAATGTCAAGGTGGATTATGAACTCATTGTCAAAGAACTCAAGTCGAAACGATATACTTTTTTTAAAAATGTGTACTTATTCTGAATGACTTCTTTGTAACATTTATTGTTAAGGTTTCATTGGGGTACTGCCAACATGATTATGACATCTGTTCTCTTCGCTATGACAAACGTGGCCCCACATCTGGTGAGTTTTTCCTGCCTTTTTCCTTGCAATGTCAGAGTGAGTGCAATGAGAAAGATCACCGCAGGATTTTGTTTGTTTTCCAGAGCAGTCTGAGGGAGTCTGAGATCAGCTCTACAGATGACGGACACACTCTGGAACTCTAGTCTGTAAGCTGGACAAGTGGGTCTGGACAGCCCTGCTTCTGCAAACTGCTCACTGGGGTTTCTCTGGAAGCCCTAAGTGGTGACAGAACGTTACAGTCAATCTTGCAACCAAGAACTCTCTTTCCCACCTCGGAAAAAAGTTATTTACAGTGGTTATACATTCAACTGAACAACATAGACTTCTGGGAAATGTGTATATTTATTTAACTGGATTATATAAAATATAGACTTAAAGAATGCAGCTCAAAATAAATTTCTGCTCTTTATTACTTTTCCATGTTCATACTTTTAAGGAAAAACAAGTAACCAAAGAACAACCAGAGGAAAAAAATCAAAGATAAGTGACTGTATCCTTCTCAAACACTTTAATTTTAAAAGCACAATTCTAATCTTTTTAAATCAAATAACTGAAGGTAGTAGTGAACCTTAAACTGAGGAAAAGAAAGTTCTCGGGAAATGTATTTTGCTAATGTATGTTGTTATTTTAATACCGACTCTTCCATATAGAATTTGTTTTAATTGTCTAGAAATGCCAAGTCAGCACCAGTGACACTAACGGACTGAGCAATGCTGTTCCTCCATCTAGTGAACAATTTGGAAACTGTACTTTTTTTTTGGTAGCAGGAATTGAACTCAGGACCTTACACTTGCCAGGCAGGCACTTATACCACTGAGCTATATCCCCGGCCCAGAAACTGTACTTTTTGAAAGTCCTAACAAAGAGTATAGCATATTCTTTGTTAATCAAATTATAATTTTGATTTTTCAGCGAATAGTTAGGTATCATAAGCAAGTTACATTCAAAAATACATTTGCAAAATGTTTTTGAGCCTCTCTCTCTCTCTCTCTCTATATATATATATATATGCATATACATATGAAATCTGACAGCTTTCCTTGGCTTTGTACTGGGAAAAAGTAACTTGTTGAAATACTTGGTTCACAAGTAATTTTTCTTCAAAAAAGAAATCTGTAGGTGATGTTTCATCATTTTCTGATATCAGTGTAAAATTAAAATTAATTTATTCTGTACTCAAGAATCATTCTCATACTGGGTGGTCTCTAAGATGTTTTTCTTCTTTATAATAATAATAAGGAAGTGCATGTTAGTACCTACATGCCCTTTTTGATTTGATCTAGAAATTATTAGATGATCATAATTATTTATCCTTCATACTTATTTGTCATTTGTGCTTTTTAAAAATATATATTCCCTAGCATTGAAGTACATGCAACTTAGTTTGAGAACACTGACTCTGCATACACAGATTTTTGCAAGAGGCCCTGGTACACACAGCGTAGTCAGTAACTGATATTTAATATTATTCACATCTTGGAACTATTGCCCCATTGTGGAGCTGTATGTGGATTCTCACTTTCCTATCCTCAGTTTGTCAGTTGCAGGAGAGAAGCCATCAGGCTTGTTTTTGCCTGTCTTTGTCAACACCTTAGTCACTGTCCACAAATCTGGAAGAAAGGTTCTGCTACCTAAAGGCAGGCTTTTCTGACGCTTTCCGCGAGTGTCCCGGACACAGATCTGGACCTCGGGCTTCACCATTCTGGAGCTCTCACGACTCTGATTTCCCAGCAAGTGGTCTTTCTCACGGCTGCTGCCTATTGCCAATCTCACAACCTTCAACAGGCCAGTTCTCTCAGTCACATCTAGTTCTCAGTACTGAGCCAGCCTATCTGCTCTGCTGCTGCTGTACTTAAACTTTATGCCTGACGATAATGCAAGATAAAATATTTGAAACCTGTACAACTCTGAAACACTTTAATTTAAACTGTCACACATAAGGATGACTGTGACATTGATTTCTTTCATTAATAAAGTCTCATTGTGCATTCTTACCAAAAAAAAGGAATCTATCCTCTTTGCCTTGTTACCATCCAAGTTGCTTTATCACTGATAACCAGTATTTATCCTTACGAAAACCAGATGTGGTACAAAAACATAGGCTTAACATGTGATTTTAGTCGCTTCATGCCTAACTGACTTCATGACAGTTAACTCATTCAAAGTCCAATCACTTTAATTAAGCTAGGGGACTAGTGGCAGAGTATAACAGTCAGTCTCAGTGAAATTCCTTCCATCATATGAGAAGATATTGAGAGGAAGTTCATATTTATGGAGTAAATTCTACCAATGTAAGAAACCGTATTTAATATTCTTCATATACCTTAAAAATTTGTTCTTCTGCTTCATTGTACAATTACATTTATGAATTCATATCATATTACAGTAACAAAAATATAAGTTGAATTCTTTTATATAAACTATAGAGATTAAATGGCTGATGTTGCTTTGAAAATTTTATTTTATATTTGATGTTCATATTGTCCATACAATATATATGTCATTCTTTCAAAGGCCTCTTTTGTCTCATACACGGGCATTTTATCTGTGTCTTTAAGTAATTTTCCCCCTGTGCTTATGTCCTAATTTCATCCAGAAAGATATGAGTTATATTAGAGACTTCTTAATGACCTCACTTTTCCTAAATTACCTCTTCAAAGACCGTATCTACAAATACAATCACACAGTGATACCTGCGGGGTTAGGAATTTAACCTACAGAACTGAGGTTAGGGGCAGACTTTAGCCCATAACATCTCTTTTCCGTATAGAAATTAATGAAGGAGACACTACGTCTTCCCATAAGTGAAAAGTATGGCATATATGTTTTTTTCTTTTTTTTTTTTTTTTGCTTTTGTCTAGATCATCTTAGAATCCAATTCAGAAATGAGAATGCTGTATGGTATTATTAATCAAAACTCATAATTTTATGTAATAAGAAAATTTCTCTTGTCTAAATTGGCCATGCTTTAGGTTAGCGGCCTGGGTGGAAAAATGTCTTCTGTATTTCAATGTCTAGAACTTCTTTTCTTCTTCTTTCTCCTTGATTCCCCCCTCCTGCTAGTGGGAGAGGGTTTAGGCAAAGCCTTTTCTTATAAACCCTTCCTGTTCTCTGAGTTGAAGGAGCTTAAAATTCTTGTTCTGAGAGTATCTGTGGCCTCTTAGAGATTCGCATCCCTGAGCAACTCTCCCCACCGTGCCGATGATGAGGCCAGCGCATATTTCATAAGCATCCTCTTCTCACAAGCTCACGAACTCCGGGAGGCATGCCGATGGGCAGGTCAGTGCCCTCCGTCCGGCCGTCACAAACCCACTCTATGCACAAGGTATCAGTCAAACCGTAGCCTGCCATGCTCTCCACGCACAAGAAGCACACAGCAGCTCTCCAAGTGGTGTCCTACACAGCGCACAGCACGTGGCGCAAAGTGGAGCCGAAGCGCCCGCTACTAGAAGTTTACAGAGTGTCAAGGGCGTAGCCCTGTGTGACTGCACGCTCTACGCAACCTCAGTGCTGTTGCCGCCTTCAGTTCTCCCTCTAGAAGCCAAAATCGCACCTACGCCACAGGGAGGCAGCCGCCCTCCCCACGGTGAATAGTCTCCACATTCTGATGCCTCCTGCTATGGGTTGGAGTGTGCCCACCAACATGGTGTGGCCTCCTAATCCCAAATGCTCAGCTTGTGAACTTCCTTGGAAAGGGGACCGTTATACAAGTAGTTGTTATGACGGGGCATACTAGATTCAGGCGTCCCTAGTCCAGAGAGGCTTGCGTTTTCATAAGAAAACACAGCTAGAGAAGAGTCAGCCATCTGAAGGCAGAGACAGGCATCGGAAAAATGTGTCCACAGGCCGTGGGATGTACGGGCTGCTGGCAAACAGCAGAAATTAGACGAGAGAAAGACCGATTCTCCCCTAGGTTTTAGAGGCGGACACTTCCGACACCTTGATCTCACACTTCTAGCCCACAGATTTACAAGGCAATAAGTTTTTGTTGTTTTAAGACGTACACTTTGTGGTAGTTGTCACGGCACCCCTAGCAAACTAGATCATCCTTGCTCACTCTGCAGACTGGTGGAAAGGTCTAAGAGTGATGTAATCCCTACCTCAAATTATGACCAAACGTTTGCATAAGTAACCTGATTTTAAATTTCACAAATTGAGTCTTAGTGTCTGGCCTGAAAATAATAACATCTATTTATATGAACCAAAAACTTGAAATCAATCATTTTCACAGCCATTTAAAAATTAGTGTT